AAGGAATAGGAAACCTGTCTCTCTTGCGTTTGGTGCTAATATATCTTTCATAAATAGTAATTATAACGAAGATTTTGTTTCGTAGGTTGAAAGAATCATTTGTCAGTCAAACAAAGATGAAAGCTTTATTAATGAATATATTTTAGAAATTCGTAAAAAAAAGATCAATAGTTTCTTTAAATATGTCCAAGATCTCGAAAAAAGTAACGATAGATTTAAATCTTTACGAGAATTTTATAAAAAAGAATTAAGTTTATTGATTAAAATATTTGAAATTAATTATCGATAACAATCTAAAAGGAATATTTCCCTTAAATAAATCATATAATGAAAACTATTTCTCAGTAGTCGATGAAATTTAATATCAAAATGTTTTTATTATTTAATCTATTCGTTATAGAATATTTATTCTATTACGAAGATCATTTTTTTGAAAAATATTAATTATTTCTCTTTTAGTAAAAAACTGAGTGTAAAGTATTTTCGGATTTCGAAAATTGATCATGACATATTAGAATAAAAATAAATGATCTTCATTCTGTTTGTTTTTTCTTACATATGAAGAGATTTTTATTCCTCTTTAATAATAAATTTATTGAAATCTTAAAAAATAAACTTTCAAGAATAAATGTAAGAAAAAATAATAAAAGTTATTTAAAATATAATTTAGCAACGATACGGATATACAAGATAAGAACAACTGATAGCACCTTGTACTGCTCGGTTAACAAGAACTAATGAAACAATGAGTGCGATATATCCACCGATACCACCAAGTGTAACAAGAATATTAAAGACGAGTGCTAAAATACTCATTGTTCTTGCACTACTTGCATTATTAGATCGTTTGTAATTACGACAAACTAAACTAAAGATTAATGGAAGAATTCCACCGATTATCCAACCAATAAACATGTTGGTAATTGACCATGGTAACCAATCACGAATTTGAGATACTTCTGGACTTTGATACGGTTGAGCGATAGGAACTATGTATGCTCCTGGTTGATGGTGAGGTGATGCTACATAATGTACTTGTCCACCTAGTGGAATAGGGGAAGATGGAGGTGGAGATACATAGTTATTTGGTGGATAACCTTCAAATGGTTTCATTTGTGGTGAATTGGCATCCATTATAGTGATCGATGAAAAACAAGTTCTGGTTTGTTTTTCAATGATATTTCAGACTATTTAAATATTCCCATAGAGTATGTCCTTTTTAAATATATTCTCGTAAGTACTTCCGAATAAATATACATATGTCAATATTATTCATCTTACATCTTTTCATAAGTATCTTGTTGACACCCATCTCATTTTTATTTACAATGGTTAATTCAACATATTACTTTGATTTATTCTTTTATAACAAAATTATATATGATGAAGAAGTATTTGACATTTGTAAAAAAAAATAATTTCGGTGAAATTTCGTTTGAAAAGAATAATAATTATATACACAGAATACAAATCTCTTCACCATATATTAAACTATGATCAATTCAACATCAATCAGACTATATTCTTCTCTCATACACATAACTTTACAAAAATCATGTTTTTAGATTTTTCTCTAGAAATTAAAAATGAAAGAATGTAATTATATTCTATACTTTAGTTGATATATTCAAATCATACGATATAATTACTTCCTTTACTTTTCTTCGAATATATATTTTTACAATTTCAATCGATCAAAAACAAATCATTTTTACAATATTTTAAAATCGGAAATATGTTATTGAAGAGTTGAAAGTAAAATCAGTATAGTTTCTAATGCATTGGTGAACGAATCGTTCGTAAAAATCGTCGAAATGATTCTTATATTGTTTGTTTATAAATGGTTGAAGGAAGGACAAATCCAATGAACATAATCACTGATGATATAAAAGAAACAAGTAGTACAACGTAACCGTTCCTAAACTCTCTAGTGAAAGAAACATTTCCTACACGACGTGTAAGAACTTTCCTCGAAGATTTTGAGTTGAAATATTTTTTTCTTTATGTGCATCATATGTTGTTGTTCTCAGTACTCAATTATTTAAATTTTCATTCAAATCGAGTTCCACTCATCTTTTTAAACTTCACAAATTGAGGTGATCGAGATTTTTGGTGTCATCTTACGAGGGATGATCACTAACTTCATGCTGATAATCACTTTTTTTTCAAAATAGCTTTTTAATGTTTCTAGATGATAGAGCACATGAAATTACGTAGAAAAAAAAATCATTTTTATCAGCTTGTTCGGAAAGTTCGTGCAACTGACCCTGAATCGCTCGATTGAAATATTTGAGCTACGTTATTCTATAGAGGGCGTGGTTTTATTAAAATTCACCAATTCTAATCGTATTGGTTCTTTCCCTTTCGTCAGAAAAAAGGCAGTTTGTAAACTATCTGGTTT